TTGAGGTGTGTCCCACGTAGGTAATGGGAGTCTGAGGGGGAAATGGTTGGGGCGTCCGGGCCATCTGGAGAAAAGAGAACACAGTCACACATGATGTAATCAGAGGGAAGGGGAAGGTCCTGGTCTGTGTAAGGGCCACACTGTGCCTCTGAAATGGATCACAGCCTTGTTTTAAAATGTTTCACCCATAGCCCTCTGTGTTCACTGAGCCTGAGTCATTAACCTTTGTATCCCATGAAAGCTTTACCCCAAGACTCTCCAGAGAGGAGCATCTGGTCCGCTTCAGTCTTGGCTCAAGGCTGAGCCTGCCCAGATGTGTCTGGTACAGGAACTCATGGCCCCCCTGGGTGTTCAGAGTGTGAGTCTGTGTACTTGGACCTGAGAGGGACGGATGTAGCCTGGCCTCTGGCAGTGTGGATTCAGGTGAACAGCCTGGTCCAGGCAGGGAAAGAAGTTACTCACAGACAACATTCAGGGTGAATGGGTCACTGCGGCCGGCACTCACGGGGTTCCGGGTTTCACACTCATAGGGTCCTGTGTCATTCCTTGTGACAGGGAGTAAAGTGAGAGTCCTGTTGTCCTTGGACAGCTGTAGCCTGGCACTGTTCATGATACTCTGACTGTTGATCAACCACAGGTAGGTGGTGTCATGAGTCTGAGGTTCACACGTTAACACGACAGGGTCCTTGTGCTCCTCGGGGAGGGAGTTGTTGCTTGTGACGCTGGGTTTGGGTAACTCCGCTGTACAGACAACAGAGAGAACATTGCCCATTGAGTCCTCCAAAGGCTTCTTCAGTCAGAATTGGTGCCTCTCAGCCAACTTGAGTTCTTAAAGAAATAAGGCAGGTCTGCATCACAAGACAAACAAATGCATGAGGATCTGAGCGCTCAGAGATTGCAAGGCCGCCTGCTCTATGTCTGGGAGAAAAGGCACAGACTTTCTCAGGTGTCAGATAACTGTCAGGGTTTGGTCACAGAGAGACACAGGACTGGGAGTCAGAGACCACCCGGCACCTGTCCTGGCTCCTCACTGACCAGCTGACTGCCTGGCTGATGTTGGCTTCTCACCTGGAATGTGCAGCTGAGAGTCCTTTCAACAACACAGACCTACATTGCCAGTTCGAGATGTGTTGCCACTGAAGCCTCACATTCCAGGGTTAACCTAGAGATGAGTAATGATGGGCCATCCCATATCCTTAAACCCTGAGGGGACTGTGTAGTGTGGTCCTGAACTGGGTGTCTGAGCAGAAATAATACACGGGAGACTAGAAGCAACTCTGGTGGTGAGTTTAGTACCCAGACTGCAGGGCCACGAGATGTGGCCATCTGCCCAGGAGTTCACTAGTGACTGACATGAGACAGTGACCCCAGAAAGGGAAGAGAAGAGTCCAGGAAGAATTTACAAAAGAGTGAGGGATGGTGGGAGCTGGCTGGGGGTGGCAGCAGAACCATGCTCTCTGCCCTTGGTCTTTAATGTCCTTTCTGCCACTTCAGAGGGCAGGGATCCTTCCTCAACACGCAGACAGGAGCACGTACAGAAAGGGGGCTTGTGGAGGTGAGGGAGCATGAACTTGCTGATAATATGGCCCTCATGGGCCATTTGTGTTTGGCAGTTATGAGATAGATTTTGAGTTAAACTGTGAAAGAATATGTGAACATCACTCATGCCCCAAAGTTCTAATGCCAGATTTTAGAGGAATTTCTGTCTAGAGAGCATGAAGTTCATAGAACAAGTTCTGCCGTCCAACCAGGTCACATTGTGACCAAAGGGAGATGTCACAGTGGGTTTGGAATCAGGGACTCCCTGGGATAGAGAGAAGGTCAGTCCTACAAAGAGAACTGAAGTGATCCGGGGGATGGGGAGGAGGAGGTGGGTCCAGGTGTCTCTGTTGCATAAAGGGAGTGATGACACCAAATTGGGATAAAAGACATGTGCCATGTTAGTGAAGTTGGAGAGAAAGTCCCTCCCTGTTTCTGTGGACAGTCTGGCAGATGGGGAGGAGCCCCCACACGGGCCTGTGGCATATGTTCTTCCTTTTCCTTCTAACTCAGGAAACAACTGGAGTTTAGTCAAATTCATTCAAATTGGGCAGCATCTGAGAGAAAGGAGAGTGGCTGGTGGATCTCATAGTCCGAGAGGATCCCACTCAGTGGTCAAGGTGTCATCATGAGGACACACGTGTGTGAAACAGGCAGTGAACCAGTCAGATGTGCAGGGTCACCAGGCCCACCTGGGGAAGGTCTCAGGAGCCAGTGAGAGGAATGGGAGCCCCACACCAGGACAAGGGTGTGAGTCACCAGTCAGGGGTGAAGTGAACCAGTGTACTTTTGGGGACTGACATCTGTCCTTCTGCCTTTGACTTCCTGGTTGAGTCATGTAGAGAGAAGGTCAATGGTTTACATGCCCCTGTCATGTGCCTGTTCCTATTGTTGGAATCAGAGGGGAAGGAGCCTGGATGGGGGCCCAGCAGCAGCTCTTTCCCCTGGTGACCTGGGAAACTAGCTCAGGATGGAGCCAAGGCTGCTGTTCCTACTGATAGCTGTGTTTTCTCCTATTGCCCAGGAGGGTGAGCCTGGACACAGGTGTTAGCAGGACAATCTGCACAGTGGGGGAAGCAGAGCAGGGCAGTGTGTCTGGAGTGAAGGAGGAGGCAGATAAGGGACATGGAAGGAGCAGATAGAGGCAGTGGGGGTTATGCGTGATTTCAAAGACCCCAGGGACCAAGAGCCCACAGCTGCCCCAGGGCAGGAGCAGTGCAGCCTGGGAAACCTTCCCACAGTGGAACAGCCCCACAGTCACCAAGGGACAGGCGGTCAGAGGGTTGGACATAGTTCTCAGCACCTGTAGGGACAGAGAACAGGTGTGGCTAAAATCTTTTAGGACTCTGCGTCCAGGTTCCAGTCTCTTTAGCGGTTATGCATCATTCATTCATTCATTAATTCATTCATTCTGTCATCATTCACCATCATTCCTTCCCTCGTTCATGAAAGAGCAAGTGAGTGCTGGTCCCTGAACTTGTAGCAGGTGTAGGGTGGAGAGTGAGAAGGCAAAGTCCTTTCCTTCATAGCATGTGGGAGTGGCACCAACACATCAGGAAACAAATAAGTGGTTTCAAGTCCAGTGCAGGGAGGTGCGGATCCGTAACCCGAGGGGAAGGCCTGGGCATTCCCTGCACTGACTCTGAATGTTATTGTAGGTAATTTGATTCTAGAGTAAAATTAATTCTCCATTTCCTTAATCACCAGACCAGAAAATCTACCTTGAGCTGGGGACTGCTATGAACAAGCACAGAACCAATGGATGGTCTCAGGGTCCACAGACACCTAAGGCCCTCATGGTGGAGGAGAGGATGGGGCTGTGGCTGTGCAAGGAACTTGCTGTGTCTGTGTGAGCCTGATTCAGTGACTGTATCACACTGTGCCTCCGTTTCCCCTGAATAAAAACAGAACAAATGGTAAATGGACTCTGGATACCATGTTGTCTGTGAATTGACCTTAAAATATCCCTGAATACTTCAGCTCAAGCCCAGTATAGAAGAGACACTGACTTAAATGGCCACTACCATTATTTGCTTCCATGAGAGAGAATTCCTGGACTGACCCCTGGTGGACAAGGTGCTGCCAGGAGCATCTTCTCTCCTCTCTTCCTTCTTGGAGACCTGACCTCCCTTTGGAGTCTCCTAAGTCCCTTAGAAGAGTCAGCTAATAATACGGGGTATTGTGTCTATCTGTGCTCTCCTGACACCGCCTTAGGTGAAGGAGTAGGCTCTGTCCCTGAAATGATGTGGCTCTTGGGGCTGAGCCCTGGCTGGTGAGCAGAAGGAGAGCCACTGCTCCCACCCAGCCCTTCCAGGAGGTCAAACCCAACCTGACACAGGCTCCCCAGGTTCCCTGGAGTCAGAAGCCCTTGGACAGGGGTGTGGGAGGGGTTCCCAGGCTGAGCTTCTCTGTGAGGATTCCAGGGTCCCCTCAGGCCAGGGTGTGACCAAGGTCCGCAGGGGATTTTTCAGTGTCATCTTCATCAGGAGGGGGCCAGGGGCTGGACTGAGACTCTGCTGAGTCTCCCTCTGCTGAGTCACTCCCATCAGACTTCTCTCTGTGGAGAATGTCTGTAGGGCTTTAATCTGGGAAGGGGAGGGCC